TGCGATAATTTTTCTCACTTTGATTACAGCGGCCAGTGACCTAACTGCCTATTTTATCAGGGCATAATTAACTGGGTAATCACGCGATTTTCCCAGTCTTTACTAAGGCACATCGGCGACAAAATCGATCAAATTTCGCCTCACCTACTTGATTAGGCAATCCCTGCTAGCATTTCATTTCAACTCTTTCTTTCTGTATCATAGCTTGTGAGTTCGAGTGACAATCTACGCACCTCAAAGGCGGAAAACTGAGTGTTGTGCTCACAAGCTTCGATGTCTATCTAGTATTCACGTACATGCTCCAGACGAATAAGCAGTTTTGGATAGAAAGGCGTTAGCTTTAGGTGTTGGCAATCTGGTCCACGGCATATTTTCACTCGCCTTCCGCGACGTGTGTTTTTTGCGTGCCTAGAGTGTGCATGGTAGAAGAGGAGGGGAAGCCAAGTAATGACTTGGTCAAGGGGAATGAAGTACTTTATTTCGAAGTTGCTGTCTGTCAGTGTGTCCCGACTATTTGGCTGTGCTCCGAGGAATGATGAACACGTCTCGTTGGATACACTAGTTGACATGGCAAGGAGCTGACCTCAGTAGCGTCAGTGTTGCAAGTTTCTTTGCCCCTCCGCATCCCCATCCCGCTTATTTCCGCCCTTTAACCACGAGCTCATTCTTGCAGCATTATATGTTACCATGTATTATTTCCGGCTTTTGCCTTCTATAATGTTTAGTACATTGTTTTTCTCATATTTGTGTATTGCGGTATGATAGTTGAAATGTCTTTTTCACCTTCAACTAATGTATAATGGTGATATTGCTCCTGCTGCTGCTGATGATGATGATGATGATGATGATTTATACCGTGTACTGGGATTTCGTAACTGTTCCTTGGACCAGTTTTATCGGTGTCCTTGACTACTGATATTAGCTGCGATTGGCATTACAAGAAACTGAAATCGCGCAGAATGTGAAAGTTCTAACCGTCATTGGACTATATTGGTAACAGAGAATATCAGACAATGGAGCAGGTGAAATGCCGCTGACAGTACTTATCTGTGGCCCGATTTCATTCTTCTTTGCTTTTTAACGGCTAGGGGCTCTGGTCTTCTCATCCGACGTTTTTCGCAGCGTTCTGACATGTTAATCAATGGATAACCTTTGCGTTTTGTGATTGTGATTACTGAGCCACATGATGACGTGCCTGTAATCAACCACATGCGGACTCGATCTGCATGTCATGGACTGCGCATACATTATGATGCTATTCCATACTATGCATGCAACTGCAGGTGCAGATAGATTTCCCCTTAAATTCTTCTCAACGTGGCTGGACCTTATCGTGGTTCGACGATGTGCATACCTCATCGACCCATTGATCTATACTGGGTGGTGCTCCCGGCCCCCTGAGAGCTACTCCTACTAGGTTGATCAACGGTGAGGTCTGACAAACGCAGTCTCCTGGTCCTCCAGGTTGGGGGTTCGAAATGGGATGGCGTCCATTTCTGTAAAACCGAATCGCTGCCACATCCGCTGCCTTCCGGACAGGCCTTTGAGCCAAAGGCTTTGGTTGGGAACCATAATCATTCTCCTGTTTAGCTCCGGGCATCCTGCCTATCTCAGACCATATACAACAATGACTATCTAGTCAAACTTTAACCACCTTCTGCATCAGATGTCACGCAGCTTCACAAGGGTCCTCTTATCTGCTACATATAGCAGCAAAAATATGCTACTGCTGGCGCCTACCTCCCTTTTCTCCAGCTGCTTCTTTTGCTCCCCTCCCAACCCGTATTACTAAACTTCCTTCCATAATTTCCAGCTTAATTAATAGCGACCGCAATTCTACTGGAGTCATACCATCTACAGCCATCTTCCCACATCAGTCATTGGACGCCAATCGCCAACAGCTCCTTATAAAGTCCATACAGTCCCGCTTTCCCATCAGCGTTCAACGTTCACACTAAGACATACAGCAACAGGATGCACTCGCACGCAGGTTTGACACACTGGGTATTGACTTGTGTTGTGTGTTCGAAAAAAGGATCAATGGCCCTCATGGGTTGTTGAATTAACTGCGCCACGTTTGTCCTCCCGTCATTAGTTGTATGCATCCGGAGACGCTGATATGGCAGCTGGTGGTCAAGCTGAGGTGGGCATCGTTCTCAGCTCCAGGGCTGAATCATCGTTGCTTGATTGGATTCCCATGAACAGCCGTTAGTGTACAGTCCGTTCGAGAACATCAACTAAGGTTGATTCACGTAGTAGTACAGATGTTTGTTGGTGGTCTCCGCTTATGCCCTCACCGACTATAGTTCTGATGCTGCCAAGAATGCTTTCTACTACGAACTGAACACGCTACTACGCATTGCTACCAGTGCATATATCATGGTTCTTGTTGGGGATATGTATGCGCAAATAGGTCGTCTGAGCTCTTTTTAAGCTCAGCTAGGTTGTACGTTTGGAATTGTCTCTGACCGAATGGACAACGGCTAGCATCTGTTACAGCTGTGTGCAGAGCACCGGCTGTTTTTCAGTAGCACCGCTTTTACGCACAGTGAGCGCCCTTGGTGTCCACCTATAGCTGGCCAGCGATGGACCCAAATTGCTCACATTGCCATAAGTTACAGGTGGCGTGGTTGCATAACGGACTACCGATCGATCTGGAATACCTGCGTCGATTTTGATCATGCTTTAGCATGCTGTCGTTTTCCAATGAAATTTACCGGGAGGCCTGCCAAGCGCCTCCAACGGAGAAGTCATCTCAGCTCTCGGCCAGACAAGCATATTAGGATGCACGACGTACCGAACTTTCTCTCTCGTCCTAATGGAATTGGATCTAGAGTGCAGTGCATGATGCGGAAGTTTCTTCTTGCGGCACTATCAATAGTTACCTCAACAGTCACTGAATATCCAAGTCGGTGAACCTGTTGTAATCCAGAAGAGAACTCCCGGCTGGCACTGAGCACAATTTGACCGGCTAGTTTATAGACTGCGTCGGAGACTAAGGTTCGAAACGCGATCACAGCTCTTAATAGTTTTCGAGCTGCTGGTCCGCATTCCCTTACGCCCGCGCTATTTAAGGATGATGTTGAGGTCCTCTGTAAAGCACTGACCTCTGTTCAAACAGGGCTGGGACTAAAAGATAATCCTAGCGTACTGGCTGAAATCGATTATGCTGGCAATATACAAGACGGGCAGTCGCACCGACAGTTTTAACCCCACCCTTGATGGCCAGGTTACTGGCATCGATTCTCGTCCGTCGCCTCACTGCGGAACAGGAATACCGGATTGAGGAAAGACAAGCGGGGATCTGCCCAGGATGGGGCTCTATATACACACTCCGCTGCAGATGCTCGACCGACAAGAGCGGTGTTCGTCGACTCCAAGAATGCGTTCGATTCCGTCGATCGATTCATTCTATTCGTGTTCTCATGAAATATGTGAACAATATACATGTCATGTACTCGAACAATACAGGCCGAGTCAAGGTCTACGGCGATTTGTCGGATATATTTCCTTCAACTAGTGTCGTTGTCCAATTTCATCGTGGACCCAATCATGGAGTGTTCTCTTTCGCGGCGTCACGATGCAGGCGTTGGTGTGCTGCCTGGTGAAATGCTAGTTGAGCTTGATTATGCGGATGATATTGTCCTGTTTTTACGATGTTGGGGCTTCCCAGTTAACCCTGAATAACCTATCTAGACTGGTCCCATCATTTGTCATACGCTTCACACCTTCAAGGTACAGTGTTGTTACAGGACCCTCAACTACTTAATGATACCTTGACCCTTGATAGCGATAAATTTGAGGTAGTCGCTCGTTCCACTTACCAAGGCAGCTGCATGAGCAACAATATGGGCATAGCCACTGAAGTTGCCTCATGTATTACAAAAGTTAGGACTGTCCTCTTGAATCTGCGGCATCTATGGCGTCAGAAGTGAGTTTCCCTCGGTCTGAAAAGGGGTATTTACAAGGCCACAGTGAAGGCCGTCCTACTATATGACAGAGACTTGGACCCTTCGATCGGAGGAACTGCAGCGTCTTCAAGTCATTGATCATCACTACCTGCAAAGCATTTCTGGTGTCGGATGGCGCCAGCGTGTCGGCAACGGTGATGTGCGTGTGAGAGTGCTTGGCAGTTATAAACAAGTCAGTTCCTTAGAACAATGGATAGCCCTGAATAAGTTGCGTTGGCTTGGGCACCTACTTCGTATGCCCGGTCACCGCTTACTGAGGACAGTCGTGTTTTGTTAGTCAGATGTAGGGTGGCGCAAGACCCGAGGTGAGTACAAGTTGACTTGGCAGCGGAAACTGAAGTCACTGACGACGAAACTGGGTGCCGTCGGTCCGTCTCGTCTTCCAGGCTGGAGTCCACATGATCCACCTTGTGATTAGTTTTATACGTTAAGGGACATGTTTCGCAGTCGGCACCAGTGGCGCGTCTGCTGTCATCTCATGGTCTAACTATCTACTTGAAGTCTGCTTGGTTCTGTTGTCTGTGGAGTGACAGGTGATTATTGCTCGGGGCAGTGAAATCCGCAAGGAGGCTGTCTCGCTGACGCCACCCTTGTGCGACAGCCAGCGGTTTATGACGGTGTTGTGTGCACACGGTGTATGCGCCTTGCTTAGTGCGCTCAGGTTGTATGCTAGGCCGCTCTTTGCTCTCTTTTATTATTCTTTGCGTAGGCCACCTTGGTTGTGCGACTGCAAAGCATCACTTCAAAGGGCTGATGTGCTACTGTCATTACAAATGATGTGCGTCTTATGTATTCGGACTGTTATGGTGTGTCTGTCTTTGGAGGTACCAGTGAAGCATGGTTTGGGGCGAATGCATGTTGCTTCACTTTGATTGTGGTTTGATTGTGGTTTGCCCTACAGTTCCCTGCCTTAGAGTCCGTGTTAAATCTACTCTACATTGATTTCCTGCAGCTATCCACTTAAGTTGCTTCGCTTGCACATCTGATTAACCGGTTACTCTCATGCGATCAACCTTCGTTCACTTGTAGGTATTTCCACTCCGAACCGGTTACACGGCTCAAGCACCATTGTTTTACCCTCTACTGATTCGCAACGCGTATTCGGTGGGGTACATCTTTTCAGCCATCCTTCCAAGACCAGCGTTACAATTGGCAACCTTTCAACGAGTTTGTCATCGTCCGTTCCGGTGGTGGCCAGCAATGCGACGATGGATTTGCCATCAACTTCCTGTACTCCCGCCATCCGACGATTGGTCTGCCCGGCGAATACCTTATTGCCGTCCTCACTCTCGGGTTCTTTCAACAGTGGAGCCAATGTATTATGCAGTCCCAGTGGCAACAGTAACGTTGTCGTTTTCCAACGAGGTTCGTTTTTCTCTCTTACAGCTTTTACTTTTTCCAATTTCTCACTTTTTGTTTATTTTGTTCCTTGTATTTCATCTGCGCATTGTTTATTTTTGGATGTTATTTTTACTTCTCTGCTCTTACCATATTTTTCGTGAACATTGCGTTCTTACTTAATGTTTCTCTCTCTCCGCTGCCATCGCGTCGTCCATCCTGCTGTTCTTCCTATTACGTTTCCTTTTTATTGGCTTTCTTCTTGCTCGGCTTGCTTTTCATGTTGCATTCATTTTTTGTTTTGAGGTCCTTATTTTTTATATTTTGTCTAAACCCTTCCCGTACCTTCCTTTTAACATTGTGGTTTCTAAATACATTAACCTTTTCGTTTTTCCTCCGGGTATACGACTTCGGTCCATCACCATCGCCGTTTCTTGTTGCTGTAGATGCTCCTCTTGCTTAGTCTAGCTAATGCTGCCTGAAGCTCTCGCTGTGCGTGGCACCTTTTCACGTGTTATCTTTGTTCAAGCAGTGCCTGGGAATGGGAATTCTTCGCAGCGCCGCTGTTCTGTCGTCTAAGTTCTACGATCCCCCTGACGTAACACTTCGATCCGAAGTTTGCAGATGCTGCAAGGGGACAGATGACTCATTGGTACTATCTATTCTTTCAGAACAGTCTTTCCGGTGTCGTACAGTTTGTGTACTTCTCCTTCTTTGTTTATTCATCTGTACATTTTTCTCTAAAGCACCTCAAGTCCACTTGTATTACGTACCAAACGCAACTTAAATCAACATAGAGAGCGAGCTTGATCCTTCCGGTGTACATACTGTTTCTGTTTTTACCTGGAGCACTCTATGTATCGCTGAAGAGTTATTTTCCGATCGCAATGGAAGTATAGCTCACGCGTGGACTCCAATTTTTCTTCACTCTCTGACCATTTAATGTCTGTTCGGCTGAACACTAGGATGTCATATTTAGTGCCGTGTCCCTGCTTACCACAATCGCTGTCCCCTTCAACATTGATGTCTCGGTATTATCCACTGAGAAATGCCTTCTGTCGAATTCGCTGCGGTTTTTCGGTTTATTACACTGACGATATAACCCGCCTTGTTTGAACCTTTTGTTTTCTTCATCCAGTGGCCGAAGGGATGAGCCGTTGGTCTTCTAACCCTAGAATCGCCAAATCGGATTTGCGTATGCTTGGGCGGCATCGCAGTTCCCCTAGTACGCGCGATTTGACGGTCGCTTGATAATGAAGCGTCGATGCATTGCCCCGGCTTACTGCTGATTACTTGGTTTGATCACCGCACAGACTCACATTAGACACGTTAGCAATGCGAATCGCCTGTTTTTTAACTGCTTATCTTATAATTGCCGTGGAATTGCGCGACTGTGGCTGTTTCGCTAAAACTCAACGCCCCTCAGGTGTATTTGCATTAGCCCGGAGCCATGGTCATTATCTGAAGCCATCGTGGAACCTGCTGCAGGTCTTGGGAGCGAGGCACTTCTGTTGTCTACACAGTATGGAGACTTGTCGGTCTGTGATAAAGTGTGCTGCTTATTTTCAAATTGTGAACTATATCCACCTTAGCGACATATGTTGCCACCATCACTGACTCTCCACACCTACGTGTGGGATTTACATCAAGCTATAGGTATGAATGTATATGCGCGTTTCAATGCATAAGGTGTCGGCGGTGCACTAGTACTTCGTGCAGCCACTTACGATTGCACGGGAACTCTGACAATAACAGCGATTGATCAAATGGATATTTAACAAAAACGTTTCCTCGGGAACTAATTGTTTCAAATGGGTATTGTTGTCCTTTTGCGGATGAAGTTCCCATCCCACCTACTCACTATGATCACCTTTCTTGTGTCTTATTGTACGCGGATGCCAGGTCAGTGAGTGCGCTTTTCACTGCTGATGAACAGCTAACAGTCTATTTGCGAGTTTCTTCCAAAAACGCATTCCATCGCTTAATTCTTTCCTCTCCCGCAACAAGGGATCTAATTCGGTTATGGTCGGATCTCACAGAATAAGAGATGGATACTCGATACTGATATATCCCCGCATGATGAGGTGACCGTCCGACACTTTCGCAGGTGCCGTAGCTGTGTGACTGAGTTTATCTGTGTAACGATTAATCTCAATTTTCCAAATGCTCCTGCTCTTTTTTTTACAACTTTTCTACATGGCTGCTCAATAATTCAATGTCATAGCTGCTCCATCCTTTGATATTACTAGATTTGGCTTAACCCTTCCACTGTTACTCGGAACAGTTATCGGAGTCACACAGGTGTCGGTTTTACCATATGTTCGTTACAATTTTTCCTATCTACGACTAGCATATTTCGTAGCATAAGTCCAGGTGCCTCCACTATTCGCAAAATGTGCCAGAGAAAACGCGACTATTTCGATGTTGCATTGCCAACCATAGCGCTCCAGTTTCGTGCAAGTGAGAGCACTTTTCTACTCGTTGTTAGCATTCTACTGCCGTTATCTACACTCTTCTACAAGCATTCCCTTTTGGGTTAGCTGTTGGATTTGTTTTTGCACCACTTGCGATTGACAGCTTCATTGATTCCTGTGCTTGTACTGACTGTGATCATCCAGTACGTGCTGTTTCAATGCGCTACCCTTCTGTTTTTCTGCGTTACGCTCAGCTTTCGGTCGTAAGCCAACCGTTGTTGCTACACCTGCCATCAAAATCACCGCTGTTTCTTCATGTGTTCCACAATTCGGGGCAATCAGCCAAACCGTTGCAACTCCTGCAACACCGATGCTGTCCGGTAACCACTCGGTTCGTATACTTGGCTTGCCAACTGGCTCAGTCTGTAGCACCCCGATGACCCCGACCACTGCCGTCGACTCCATGGACAATCCTGAAACCGATACCATGGTGAGATGCAACTTTTGTGCTAGCTTTTAACTTGTACTCTCTATCACACGCATATCTCCTATGTTATCTGCTTTTTCCTAATCGCATAACAATTTACGGTCCACATTTCCACCCCTATCCTACTTGACCCATCGTCTGTTCTAACGGTTGTGCAGATTAGATCGGATGATATTTCACTTAAGTTACCATTAAGGTTTAATTCTGTATTACCTTTTCCCTTAGTCGGAGCCTCCTTCTTCACAATCTTTGGAGGATTTCATACCTTCTCTGCTGCATCGGGCGTCCAGCCTCAGGGCTAGTATTGACGTCGATCTGGATGCCGACGATGTGGCGCCCGAAGAGACCGAAACCGCTGGTCTTTTAGCGACACCCACCCCTTCTCCTCTCATTGATCCACCGGGCTCTAAGGAGGCGCCTTCTGCCGTTAGCACATCACATACTCACACAGGAAACACTGTTCTTCCCGTAGCAGCCGGAACAAATTCTTACAGCACGGAGGCGGCGGACGTGAGTAACCCTGGATGTTTATCCTGTATTATTCTATGAATAGTATAAAATATTCTCTCGCAGTTCATCTGATCATTTTGATCGTGCATTGAATTTTACGTCTTTCGATGTACGCCAGTTGTATACGTGATTTATTTCTGTTCTTAAAATCTAATGAAGCTTCTTTACATTTTTCCCCTGGGTCTACGCGAGCTGTTGAAACACCACTTCCTTTATGCGCACTTTTAATGTGTATTGTGCACCTAAATGGGTGTCTCCATCGAACATATTAAACACAGCTTTATTCCTTAAGTCATTTGAATGCTTACGAATTGCACGCACTATTCAACTTGAATCGCCTGGGCCTTCTCGCGACAATGCTCTATTTTAACTTGCTGTGTGTCTGTTCTCGCCCCCTTACCCTGATCCATTGACGTATCTTTTGAGTTCGGTATCAACTAGGTAAACGTATAGGTATGAAATCTGTAAACATTTTAACGTGTCATGTACTCAACACCACAGGCCGCGTCAGGGTCTACTATGACCTGTTGGATATCTTTCCGACAACAAGTGGCGTTCGTCAGTGTTGCCAAATTTCCTCATTTTTGTTCCATTTCGTCGTGCACTGCATCATGGTATGTTCCCTTGAGGAATCTCACAATGCAGACGTTGAGGTCCTGCCTGGTGAAAAGCTAGTTGACCTTGATAATGCAGACGATATTGTCCCGGTTTTTAACGATGTTTTGGCTGCCCAGTTAACCCTGATTAACCTATTTAGAGTGGTCCCATCCTTTGACGTGCTCTTCGCACCTTCAAAGTGCAGTGTTGTTACAGGACCATCAGCTACTTAATGATACCTTGACCCTTGATAGCGAGAACTCGCGATGATTGATCGTTTCACTTACTTTGACAGCTACATCAGCAAAGATGCGCGCATGACCACTGAAGTCAGTTCATGTATTGCATAAGCTAAACTGCCTTCTTGCATCTTCTACATCAGTGGCGCCAGAAAAGAGTTCTCCTCAGTTTGAAAGGCAGTTTTTTATAAGACCACAGTGAGACTGCCCCTTCGATTTGCGGACCCGCGGCTCTTTCATATCATTGATCATCGCTGCCTGCAAAGTATTTCTGGTGTCGGATGGCACCAGTGTGTCCACATGATGATGTACGTGTGCGAGCACTGGGCACTGACAGTCATACTAGTTCCTTAGAACTGCAGCTAGTACTGAATAAGTTGCGTTGCCTTGAGCATGTAGTACGTATTGCTGGTCACCTCTTACCGAGGAGGGTCTTATTTTGTTTGCCAGATGTAGGATGGTGCAAGCTCTCATTGTAGGCAACTATTAATGGGGCAGCGTGAAATGACGACCAAATTCAGTGCCGTTGGTCTTTCTCACCTTCCAGGTTGGAGTCCATGTCACTCGCGCTGTGTTTGCCTCGAGACGTTAGAGGACATGACTCGTAGTCGGCACCAGTGGCTTGTCTGTCGTCGTCTACTAAAGTGTGTGTGGTGCTGAGTTATCTGCTGACTATGACGCGGAGCAATGAAAGCCGCAAGGAAGCTGTTTCGTTGATGCTGGCTTCCCTTTGTCAGATAACCAGCTGTTTGTAACGGTATATTGTTGACACAAGGTTTAGACACTTTGACTCTGAATCTTTGTTTACTACACCAAAGTTTTATTCTAACTCCATCTTTTCTGTCTTTTATTATTCTTTGTTTCGTAACCTGGATGTATGGCTGCGGAGCATCATTTCCAATGTCAGATGTGCTGCTGTTTATGATGTTGATGATGGGTACGTGCCAATCGACCTCGTTCTGCTAACATTTCGATTTAAGTTTGTTGCGCGTAATGTTGTGAACGAGCTCCATTTTGTGAACTGTTACTCTATTCCCACTCTCTTGCAATCCTGTTTTCTAGTCAAATGCTTCGGTCCAGAGTTCTCATGGTATTTCTGTTTAGATCCTTCAACACTGACAAAATCCCTGCATACATGCAATCGTGACTTTTTCTTCGAACGTCTTCTCCATCTTGCACACACAGTCACCTTGTCTGCTGCATGCAGCATGGTGGATAAGCGAAAACACACCCGCTTCTTTTTACTTTTTCTCGTTCACACCCTGTTCTTCATTATTATCCTCCTTTCTGCAGTCCTTAGCATATGTGACGACCTTTGAAACCCTACTGTGGTTTTACTATCTTCACCCTTTGTCATTGTAGTACCCAGTCATTTAGATTCGATGCATTACGGGCGCATGATCGCAACGCCGCATTTGCAGTGATGACCTTCTCGGTCTGATTTTAAAACCAGACAGACTCTACCAATCACTGAGCAATATACTTTCCACGCTGTTTCTTCGGTGGTACGTGCTTCGTATGCCTGCTCATTGGCTGTTACTCCGCGCTTTATTTGCGCGCTCCTATGTTGACTGAAAGCGCCGTAAAGCTGATCAACTTACACCCTGCACTCACAGCGTCAAAGCGATAGCATTAGTAGTCCGCAATAAAGCGTTCCGGACTGCTGGATTGGAAACCATTGAAAATCAGCGCACCTGGTTAAAAAGGCTATCGGATTTGGCCCTGAAACATACCGCGTGGTGGACCAGCTGCGAGTATCTCCTCTCCTGACTGCATTTCCTTCTCCGTTTTGCTATATTTGCTGTGACAAGCTGCCATTTAGTATAGTGGTCAAGTTTTAAGATATCTACATATGTAGGTATGGTCAGTGGCATCCGTTTCCAGATTTGCCTACCACAGAGACCGCGAGCAACTACAAGACGCCTGCATCTGCAGGAGTAAGACTGGAACCCATGTCGATGGGGGGGGGGCATAATTGATTCGTAGCCAGTCCACCCTCCTACAACATGCACATCATTCATTTGAGGAAGAAGGGAAAACCCACATACCAGCCGTACTCAAAGCGGTGACTGCGTTGTAGCACGTTCCACTCTGGATGGAACCACTCATTGCGCTTCGTGCTATCACAAAGGCCATGCACCCTATTCCTTCAGCAACGATTACTAGTCTCCTGGAAGCAGTAGTCGAGATGGCGGTTTTCGAGAGTTAGGTCCGTTACCGAAACTCACATCAAGCGCGACCAGATAGAGGATATACATCAGCAAACCTGAAATGCGAGAAGGTGAACACACAGACACACGTGCAGACCATCAGCTACGTTGATGCAGCACAGGCAGGCGCTTCGGTATCCTGGTTGCATCCATGCGGCATACATGTCCAATCCACCTTAGTTGTCGCAGCACAAGTTTGCAGTTCACTTCATGCAGCGGCATTTTCGTGCCAACAATTGCCCCTCAAACGGATTCGCAGAATCCGACGCAGACATAGTGGGCGTAATCGCTTCAAATTTCGGCTATCTTTCCTGCGTGACCACGTTTTGCTGCCGTAGAGTAGACTTGAAAACACGATCGACTTGGAACTGTCTGCTTAGTATCAACGGTCGGCTGATGGTTCTTCTACATCTGGTCTTCCAGCTTCCCGAATGTAGCACTTGTTTTCTATACCTCGATGTGCAGCTCCCTGATCTTCTGTATGTCTATTGAAAACATGCCGCCGATGTAGCAGAATTTTGATGAGGCCTCCAAATCTTCCCGCTATCATATTTTGAGGGTGACTCACGATCTACATTCCTGGTGACAGCTGAAAATGACATTTTTGCTTGTGCTGTTGGTGGGTCCGAACTTGGCCGCCGTCGAAGCGAGAGCCGTCGTCATACGTTGCAGCTTATCGTCGCTGTATACAAGCGTCGCACAATCATCTGCGAACGATGTCTTGCTGATGCTTATTCCACCCACTCTGGTTCCTGCCTAGAAGGATAGACATTCAGAAACCCACTGTCGACACGGTGTTCGAGACGGACACCGTATTCACAAGAATCGAGAACACTAGACATCACAGTAGTTCACTACTTAGTAAACGGAGTAGGAGATAAGGCACAGCTTTGCTTTACACGATACACTACATCAATGTCATCCGAAATTTGTCCACACAGTTGCACCCTGACCCTCGTACCACCGTACAGGCATTTAGTATAGGCAATAATTTTACATGGACAACCAAACTTGCTCAAAACCATTTCAATTCATTTGAACAACTTTGATCCGGGCACCGAAGTGCGGCTGATCCAGTTGCCACGACTCACGTCGCAAGCAACACAGTAGATAGCATTGGTTGGAATATGAGGTTGATGTATATTACTAAGAAAATGAAACCACAACCAGAGTGCGCCACTTTAATCAAGGGGATTGAAGCTTAGCAGCTTGATTCAAGAAACCGAATACAGGAACACATCTGACTGCGCAACGTCCCATCCACGAAATCGGCACTCACCAGCTTGATCAATTCTCATTTAGTTTCTTCCTGCCTTTATGTCGCCTCATCACTTGGTTACCTCGTGGTTTCGCTTAGCTTGATGCATCGACGGCGTATAATACACACCGAGAAAGCCGACCGATGGATTTACGAGGGACATGGCCACTCCCAACACTGTGTTGGGGGGGGGGGAACAACATCGAAATATCTCCATTCTGGATACGGTCCTTGCGGTCGGAATGACCACAGTCTACTTAAAAGTGAACCGATGTCTAAATAGAGGTTCCGTGTCGCAATCCTACCACACAGCGGGTTTTCCAATTCCAACTTTGAATTCCTTTCAGCTATGTCAAGCGTTGCTCGCGGATCTCAGTGACCTCGTGTTTAAGGCGTCAGCCGTGAACCACTAGGCACTGAGTTCCACCCCAGCTCAGGCTATCTCCACCAGGATGAAACCGCGGTCGTGGTGTGTCAGTGTTGGAAGGAGCTGCACCGATCCCCAATTTTCGTAGTATATTCATTAGACATCATTCCGTAAACACCCTTTTTCGGGATTCACGGTAGTGAAACCAGAGTGGAAAGAAGTCCAAAGACACCCCCTTCATAGGTAAGCAGTATCACGAGCTGCCTCGAGCAACAGAGTCGACGGCGGCCTTCAAGTGAAGAAAAACCACCATAGTAGGTTGTCTATAA